TTTGAAATTAAATAATATTTTTGTTTTATTGAGTTTTGTATGTTACAATTCAGAGATGATTTTCAGGTAGAGGTGGTCTAACTAAAAAAAAAATGATTTGGTTTCCTCAAAGCCTTGTGCTTTTAACTAATATAATCATTAATCTTCCCAAAATTGAAATTATAGAGTTTTCATACAATTAGTTTGTAATACATATAAAAAAAAATTTTTTTGCCATGACTTTAAAAAAGGAAAACATATTTATAATAAGTTCCATCATTTGTGAATAGTTTCTGAAAGTTTCAGTAAAATCCAACAATTATTTTTATTTTTGCAAGATTTTCAAAATTAATGTCTGTCATACAGAAAAAAATGCGCTAAAATTTTATGTTATTTTACTAGTTCCGGTGATACAAAGAGAAACAAGGTTTTTTTAATCAAAATTTAGAATGTTCTAAAAAGAAGGAAAAAATTTTTAAAATAATTAAAAAATACTTTAATCTTTCCTCTTAATAATAACATAAACATTTAGATGCTAAAATTTTGCTTTCGTCAAGTTTGGTGTCTTTTTCAGCATGCTATGCTCCTTTTTTAGCGATCTCATGAAGGTACCTATATGTATGTGTATATATTTTCTTTATTTTTTATCTAATTATAATCATTATTTTTACTTTATTCCTACTTTGCAGGTAATCTTTAATACTTTATGTATTAACTTTAAATTATATTGATGTGTGGTTTTCAAGTGTCACCGTGATATGCCTACATATGATAATTCACTCTTTCTTCTTCCCCATCTCCTGTTTAACTCTTTCTTTCTTCTGCCTCCCCCCCCCCGCCTGCTTTACAATTTGTCGTCTTCCTTTTTTTTTCTTCTTTTCCCTTCCTGTCTAAAAATTATTTAAGAGATCAAATTGTCTGGCCTCATAACTGAGTACTAATACTTGAAACTACATAAATTATTAAAGATGCTTTAAAATCAACATTATCTCTGCTTTTCATTTCCAAGATAGATCATTCTATAGTCCTCCCCCCTCCCACCATCTCTATCACCTTATATCAATCTAAAACTATCCCTCAAAAACTTGTATTAAAAATAAAAGAAACCAAATTCCTTTGTACCTAGAGATGTGACTTGATTAACCAGGAAAAATATATTTTCTGGGAAAATAAATTATAGTCATGGAACCTTAAGGTTGTCTCTTTCTTAATTATTTAATTAATATTTGCTCTGTTGTTACATTGAGCTCTCTGGATTATATCCCCCTTGGAATTATCCACACGGATTACCAAACCTTTTATTTGAATTTTTATTTTATTTATTATATATATATATATATATATATATATATATATAAGGGATAAATGTCTTTTTTATTTTACAGATAATTAAAAATTATTTTCATAATTTAACACTATTGCTACTATACTACTACTAAGTAACAAGATCTCTAAGCCTGGTGACACATGTACTGGGCCCATCTGTGACTATTACAGAGGACGCCCGCTCCAACAGAATATGGCACAAAGCCATATTTAATGTGGTAATTCCATGTCTACATAGGATTAATGATAAAATTGCTCACCACTTTTGACACTTCACTATGGAATATCTTGGGCATCAGAGATTGACCCTGATCTTCGCTGTCTTAGTACAGTCAAAAAAGTGTTATCAGCCTGCCACCATACTAGAGACAAGCGGATTGTATTTTGAACGAAACCGGGTTATGGTCAATGATGCAGATTGTTAAAAAAAACAAAAAAAGAACAACAGAAAAATTGATTTTATTTATTTAGTCTTAGGGGAAGAGTTCATAATACAATTTTAATAGGTCAATATTTAGGGAGTGAGTTGAGAAGAACTTTTCACCCATCCCCCTTTGCTATCTGCCTTGAACATAAATCTATTATATACAGTATTAATAGAATACAAGTTGAGTACCTTTATCCAAAATCCAAAAGTTTTTCAGGTGCTGACATGACTTACCACAAATAGAAAATTTCAGAAAGTAGTGGGAAGATTCCTAGGTGATGTACAGCTGTTGTAAGTGACCTAATCTACCCTGGGTGGGGATTCTCCCAGCCCTGCTATGTAGTCTACATTGGTGCCAGTTTTTTGTTAGTGATCATCACAGCAACACTTTCCTTTATGAATTACTTACCAGATGTTATCAACTCAATAAAATTATTTTATTCAAAAATATCAAAAAGTCCTGCATTTATATATTTTTTGTAAGTAGTGATCATGTTATTTTTTATACACATACAGAATGTAAAAAACATTATTTTTACTTGAAATCTTAATTTCATCCCTTATAAATCCGTGTGAGCATTGCATTATGAGTCATTATTTGTATCTGTATGTACATAAAATTTATTAAATTTTGAATAAAACTAATTTCAGGGTATATGTAAGGCTTATAAGCTGTATTATAAAATGTAAAGGGATATCGTGTTTATGCTTGGGTTCTGTTTCCAAGCTGCCCCATTTTATAGATGCTATTAAATAGCCTGTATTTTAAAATCTGAAAGAACTTCCGGTCCCAAGAATTTGGGATAAGGAATTCTCACCCTGTATTAATATATTTATCCTGAACATGAATATACTATGCACATCAATGGGCTATGAGAATTCTGGTTGTTGATTTGGAATCAGCTTACTCGTTTAGTCTGGGCGACTGACTATATTCTTTCTTTTTCTCCTCCAGAGTTGTATACAACAAAGAATCTGTACAAAAGCTGAATAAGTAATTCTTTATTGATTTCTGGGTATTAAGCATTTTATTAGATCAATAGTTACATAAGGAAAGAACACAGGGAAAATTGGGATTATGCCTTTTTGTTTTTACCAGAGTCATTTGAATATTTGTTGGATAAAGCTAACTTTGGAATCTGATTATGTTTATGGACCACCTTAGTGAAGAATCTTCCTCTAATGATATTTATGATTTCAGTTTTGATAGGTACCTCCACGGGATCGCTAAAAAAAGAGCATAACATGATGAAAAAGACGCCAAACTTGACGAAAACAAAATTTTATCGTCTAAATGTTTGTTATTCATTAAGAGGAAAGGTCAAAGTATTTTTGGGGTATTTTTTTTCCATTTTTTAATCGTTCCTAGCACGTCCGAAATTTTCGTTAAAAATCTAGTTTTTTTTGAGTCAGCAAAATTGACCATTTTTTTCCATTTTAAAAAAAAATGGAAATCTGACTTTGAAATTTTTTTAAATATCAATTATCATTTTTTCAAAACTTATTTTAAGAAAATCAGAAATTATAATGTTTATTTAAAATATTTTGAACCAAACTTAACTTAGCTTTTGTGCCAAAAAGATGTAATTTGAAAATAAAACAAAGCAGGTCATAAACTTTCGCGTCTCTTGACATGTGATGAATGATATATTTACGAATTCCATGAGGCTAATTTGTTCTACGGAAGGAGAAAAGTGAAATAATTTACATTTACATGAACAAATTATTTACCCCGTTATTTTTAACGAAAACTTTCAGCGGTCTAATTATTTTTTTATTTTTTTTTTTTGTACTTAGCTTTCACCTTTACGTTTATGATGCTTTATGGGAAATATATTGTAAAGAAATTAAAATAAAACTGTTAAGAGTGACATTAAATTTCATATTTCTTAAGAAAGGTATCTAATTAATTTATAGGTACCTTTCTTATGAAATTTTATCAGAATTGTACATAAAATACTATAATTTTATGTACATTTATTACATTCTACTGTTATTTGTATTTGCATTCATTTTATTATTAATTTTGATATTTCATTTATGGAAAAATGTCGTAACTGAGATTAATATAAAAATAAGATCATATAAATTTCATAAGATGATACTGATACTTGTAGGTACCCTTCTCTGTTGAAATTGAAAAATCAAATTAACTTCTCCACACGTGTTTCGTAAAAAGTAAAGGCCTTAACAGCGGAGAACAATGCTTAACTCAAATAACGCAACTTAATTATATTCTGGTTGGTCTTCCGTATTTTATAATTACAGCTCGATTATAGGCACAAAATTACATTTCTTAATTACTGGGTATCTTCTGATTAGTCAAAATGATACAATTACAACAACGCTAAAAAAAGATCTATCTCATAAGGACACTTATGAAAGCCGATGCGACTTTTAACTAATTTTATAATATTTTAACAACTTAAATGTAAAATCTATTATAATTAATGAAATAACAAATAATTGTATTAAAATTCATTTTTCATCGAAAAAATTTTTTGGCTTTCAGAAAATATTGTCCATATTCATAAAAACAACTAAAAGCAAATAAAAGCATTTGAAATTAAATAATATCTTTGTTTTATTGAGTTTTGTATGTTACAATTCAGAGCTGATTTTCAGGTACTGCGTATCCAATTAAAAACAAAAAAAAAACATGATTTGCATTCCTCAAAGCCCTGTGCTTTTAATTATTGTAATCACTAAAACCGATGCGATCGAATTTCTAGCGTTTTCATAAAATTAGTTATGGGGGTAATAAATATTTTTAAAAAATATTTCTACCATGACTTTCATAAAAAAAAACATTTATAATAATTTCGATCATCTGTGAATAGTTTCTGAAAGTTTCATTAACATCCGATAATTATTTCTATTTTTGCACGATTTTTCAAATTAATGTGTGTCATACCAAAAAAACGTGCTAAAAATTGTCTATGTTATTTACTAGTTCGCTGATACAAATAGAAAAAAGTTTTTTTAATCAAAATTTAGAATGTTCTAAAAAAGAAGGAAAATTTATTAAAAATAATTAAAAAAAACTTTGGTCTTTCCTCTTAATAATAACATAAGCATTTAGACAATAAAATTTAGTTTTCGGCAAGTTTGGCGTCTTTTTCATCAAGCTATGCTCTTTTTTTAGCGATTTCGTGGAGGTACCTAAGTTTTGAGATTAAGAAAAATTTCTAATAGAAACTCTTTTGGTTTTTTAAAGTCTTTGAGGTATTCACTTCTATTTAACCAATCCTGCCTTTTCATTTTCCAGATTCACCCTCAAGGTTGGTGTTGTTTGTCCCGGAATACAAGCAGTGATGAAAATTCTGAGGTAAATTAATCATCAACCATTCTTTTAAACATCTTTCATTAAATATGGAAGACAAGGAAGATTTAATTAATTTTTTACTTAGTTCATCCAGCATCCTTAGATTTTTCCATTTTGTCAGAGTAAAGAAGAATTAAATTACAGTTTAAAAGAAGTTTAGGTTAGAATTCAAACTAAACTTCTTTTAAATTCTAATTAAATAAATAAAGTTTACTAAATCAAAGAAAGGAATTAGCTATTTTTGCTGTAAAGAAAAAAATTTTAATTAAAAATATTTAAATATAAAATTTTTAAAAAAATCGTAATATAAATGTACTTGATATAGAAAAATAATTTTACTGACTGTAAGTAACTCTATTTACTTCTATTAAATGAAATATAGTCTATAAAAACTACTAATGAAAATAATTTAAAGTTGTAATTAAAATTGTAGTACATTAAAATGAATTCTAACCTAAACTTCTTTTAAACTGTAATTAAATAAATAAATAAAGTTTACTAAATCAGGGAAATGAAAATTTTACTTTAGTAATTTTTAAATATAAAATTTTAAAAATCGTAATATACTTGATGTGATAATAATTCTACAAACTGTAAGGGATTCTCATTACATTTAATTGTTTTTGAAAGAATTATAGTATAATAAAAATTAAAAGTAAAAATATTTCAAATTGTAGTTAAATAAAAAGTATTCTTACCTAAACAACCTCCCCCAAAAATCTTTAAATATACGAAGAAAAAAATGCTGTAAGAATTTTAGCCGTTAACAATATAATTTTAAAAAAAATCCAGACGACACGCTTTTAACGTATGTTAGATTTCATTGAAAAATACATCCCTACCCACTACCAAAACTGTGTATTTAAAAACCAGTAATTTTAAAAGTTACTCCAAAATTCGCTTGAGGATGAAATGGAACTAATGTCTTTAATTTAATCACAAAATTAAATTTGGGGCTTTTAGCTTCCATTTTTGAAACATGGTTAGAACTGTGTAGCGAAAAAAAACATTTTAAATCAATTAATTTATAATATATACACACACACACACACACACACACGAGTGGAGATACCCAACGTTGCTTGGAAGATCCCTGTATAATAGATTCTTATTGACAATTTATTGATATTTTTCAGCCTTCTCATGGAAAATAATTTTTTATTTAATCTTTAAAAAAATAAACTTCATTGTTTTGGTTTGTTACAAAATAATTAAATTTAGGAAAATAACACACTTTGGTCGGGTGGGGTGGTGGGTCGAAGGGGGTGCTGAGCCTCCCAATACTTTTATTCAAAAAGACACTTTATTTTTCGATTTAAATATTAACAAATATTCTGATAATTTTTTTTTTTTTTTTTTTTTTTCCAAACAAATCAAACTTTGGTAAAAGTCCATTAATCTTTTTTTCAAATTATAATTAATAAATAAGTTAACTTAAAATAAAATATATTTTAGCATATTTGATTTAATCATTTTTTCAAGCAAAACCTATAGCAAGCATTACTTCAAAAATAATAATTTTCTATTTATTTTGGAGGGGAATTTAGGTTGGTTTTTTTTTTTTTTTTTTAAGTAAATAAACTTTTAAACATGAATTACTAACTATTTTCAAAGAGAATAGAAGCAAAATACATTGAGAATTTAGTTTTGAAAAGCAATTATGTTTAAATTTCAAGTAATTGTATCTGGAAAGAAAAAAAACTTTAGTTACATAAAAATTAGCAGAGACAGACATTACTGACAATCAACATTAGTCATTTCAAATATTTGTTTTACAAATTTAACTATATTTAAATTAATTTTTGAAAAAATAAGGCTTGCTATAGTTTTTTGCTTTAATAAAACTTAATTGAAAATTTATTTTTTTATGTTAGTTACAAACCAAAAAAACAATGCAGTTAAATTTTTTAAAGATTGAATAAAAATTTATTTTCTATACGAAAACTATTAATAAGTCAATAATACACACACATTAATTATTGTAGTTTTTTAGTTTTAGCCGGACACACACACACACACAAATATTTGAATAAAAAATTAAGCTTTTTGTCAAATAATTGTATTTAATATTCTTTTAAATTTGCTGTGTTGTTTTAATACTCATTTTTTTAATATTATGTTTTTATTGTGAAAATAAATTCAGGAGAATAGAAATTTTAAAAATACATACATGTATAGCATTTAGCAGAATAAAAAAAGTAAAAAAGAACAGTAATCCTAATCTGGAATAAGAATTAACGTTTTCATTCTGAGAATTTCGAATACATTTTCATTTTAAAATATCTTCATAAATACAAAATCATATGATGATAAAAAAAAATTTATTTTTTATTTTTTTTAAAGCTGGCTTGGGTGATAATGAGTCTGTATACATATTTACTTTGTCATGAGCTATTGTAGTCTTATTTTTAGCTTCACACACACAGATAGATATATGATAGGATGCCAAAAGTTATTTCCCTTGCTATAAGCATTCTTGTTTAAACCTGCTTTTTACTTGACAAGTGAGAAAAAGTTTTGAATGATTTCAACAGATAAATATATTTTGACATATGAAATAGTCTAAAGTTTTTAATATATTTTTTTTTAATATAAGAGCAGTCACTAATTTATTAAATTTCTAATTTTTCTTACTGTTTAATACATACAACAAATTGTCTATATTTGCAAGTTGCAAAATGCAGTTTAATTATAAATGAGTGCTGCCTGTTTACAAAAGCAAAACTATTATGTGGTTGTAATTATTGCCATACACTTTATATTTTGACCTTTCCCTGCTTGCTAAGCCATTTATGATTTAAATTCTGTTCATTCAGGGTTCAATGTTCTAAAGTTTTATTTATACTTATATTTTTTTTTTTGTTGTTTGTTTTTATTGATTTTTTTTTTTTTTTTTTTTTTCCTGATAAATTTTATTTCTAACAAATGCCCAACTTTATTTTTTTTTTTTTTCCTGGTTTTGAAGGAATCCAGAAAATAATTTCTTAAAAAAGAAAAATAATCTTTTCTTGTGTTTTTGTTTTCCTCTTTATTGCAGTGGACGTGTCTGCATGACATTCAAGAAATGAAGACAGATTTATCGGAAAACGAAGATTTAGATGATGTAGAAGATGAAATGCTTGACTATAATCCACAGCCATCAACATCTGGAGAACAGGTGCACCGTCGACCAATTGGCTCCATGTCTCCGATCCCTACCAGATCACGTTCGCCAACTTCCAATTCTCGGTCCTCAAGTCCTTCTTGGCTGATCTATGTCCATGTCCAGTCTCCAACACCAGAGAATTCGGCATCTGATGACGATGATAATTTGGAACCGGACGATTATGATGACGATTCTGATCCTGCAGAATTTGTACCCCGGGAACGTGCTCGGCCTACTCGTAACCGGATGGTGTATTACCGGACTCCCAGAGTTGATACAAGTCCTACATCTAATGGTCAGGGTAGTAGCAACAATGGCGAGACAACTAATGACCATTCCGGTTCTACAAGTTCGGCACCTCAGCCAGACCAAGGTTGGCATCCTGTAGTGACCCCAGTTCAGGATCTGCTATCAGGAATTAACCCTTCCAGGGTGGGAAGTCGCAGATCAACAGCTGTTTTAGGCAATGGGAATTATTATTCTCCGAGCAGCGAGACTGCACCAAGTGCTGCCTCTGTGGGTTCTCCTGTTGCAGGAGCCAGTAGCGGTAATGGCGGCAGCAACAGCAGCAATAGTAGTAGCAGTGGAATTGGAAGCAGTAGTGAGCAGGGCTCTTCCCAGAGTCCCGTAGATTACACGTTTATTTTCCGCACGGGAGGTCAGCAGAAACGAACGCTGGCTGTGTGTTCGGACATCAAACCTTATCCTTCTCACTTGTACAAAATTCATAAAAACCGACCCCGTCTTCTCTACTATAGCGAGGAACCAAATGTTGGGCGAGGCTTCATCAAGGAACTCTGTTTTAGCCCTGATGGTCGCCTTATCTGTTCCCCCTTTGGGTTCGGGACTCGCCTGCTTGCCTTCAACCCCCATTGCCTTGAACTTCCTGATTGCGTCCCATCCCGGCCCTTAAAGATGTGTGAGGTGACGTGCACAATGGCACACAGCAACGTTGTGGTCACTGCTAAATTTTCACCCACTCACTGTATGTATGTGGCTGGGTGCTTGAATGGGCGAGTCACATTTCATCAGCCTGTCTTATAAGAAGGGAACAGTTTAGAGGACAGAACATACAAAGAATTAATAAATAAAATTCAGTGTGTGGGATTCTTCTTTCTTCTTCTTTTTTTTTTTTTTTATTTGAGAAAGAGAAAGAAAGAAAAACAAGACCTGAAAGAAAATTCAAAAAATAAAAAAAATAGCGGAAAAAAAAAAAAGAAAGAATTTTTGTCATTTTGATTGCATTTCTGTCCAAAGAACTTGCCGTATCTTAATGTCATTCCCCAACCTTTTTCGTATCTCATATTTTTTCTAATTTTATTTATTTTTTATTTCATTCTTTATCTGTTTTTAATACTCATTTTCACAGCCATTGACAAACCTTGGAGAGAATTTTTGCAAGATTTTTTTTCTTTGTCTCAAAAAATTCATTGTTATTTTTCTTTGTGGTACCTTTTTTTTTTTTTTTTTTTTTTTTGTATCAGATTAACTTTTTTCTTCAGTAAATTTGGACCTTTGTGCCCGAAAAAAAATCCCAAAAACTGAGTCTCAAAAGTATGTTTGTTTTTACCTTGACACCACTACTATTTTAACTACCTTCATTCCTTACTAATGATTATTGTTTTAAAAAGTGATGATTAGAATTGTAATAAAGCCTAAACATTTGATGAAAGTGAATTTATAGATTTTTTTTTTTTGTTCTTGACAATTGACAACAAAAATATTAAACACTATTTATTTACTAGATTGTTTATTTACAAGAATAATTTTATATTTACAACATTCTAAAAACTAGTACAATTAAAATAATGCAATGTAATATTTATCAATTTATAAAGAATTAAATCTGAAAAGATTTTTTTATTCATGGATTTATAAACATTTAGTAAATTATCAAAATATGTCAACCAACTATAAGGAAATCCTTATTTACCATTTTATAAAGTTTGAATCATCAATTGGCAATTAGCTGATGTTTTGCCAACTATTCAAATAAACAATATAATAGTGTTTATTATTTTTGTTGTCAATTCTCAAGAACAAAGAAAATGTATAAATTAACTTTGATGTGTTTAGGTTTTATTAAAATACTAATTATCACTTTTTAAAATAAACATTGCTGAGGAAGTTGAAGGTAGTTAAAATAATAGTGGTGTGAGGGGGAAAACAGCCTTTTTGAAACTTTTTTTTTTTTTTTTTTGTGTGCACAAATGTCCATGTTTGCCTTTTCTTTTATTCAGGATTTGATTTTGGAATATATTTCTTGTTTTATAAAATAAGTATAGGTTATTTATTTTTTCTTCCTATAAATCCTTAATCATGTAAAACCTATAAAAAAAAACGTCTCTAAATACACAGAGAAAGCATCACTAACTTAGCAGGTTTCCTCCCTGAAGCTGGTATACTGTTGCAAAATCCCATTTCTCTTTAATATATTTCCCAATTTATGGCAACCATAAAAAAAAGACTCCACATTGAACTTGAAATAACCAGAATTGTTATCAGTGATGTCTTGAAATTGGTGCTGCCTAGCATGAAAATGGTTAGAATGCTCATTCTTGCTCTAAAATGTAACAGAATGACCAAATATTTTTGGTTCAATCCAAATACTGATGTTCTGAAAAGAATAATATATTTAAAAATACCTGGACTTGGGATAATCTATAATTAGTCAAATTTTTTTTTTTTTTTTATCAACTTGTTTAATCCTTGAAAATTCTTCACAATTCTTTTTTTTCTTTTGTAAATCACATGTTTTTTTAATTTTCATTTTTTCATTATATTTTTTGTCCATTTTGTTTTCAAAATGGATTTTCTTTTGAAAATAGATTTTACTTATTTAATTTTTTTTTCTCGAAACTTTGTTCAAATTTTCTGTTTGTTTCTGTTTCTGACATTTGGTGGTTGCGTTTTTTTTTTTTTGTTTTGTTTTTTTTTTTCTTTTAATTGTTAAAAGGTTTTATGATCATTTTCCCAATTCACTCAACCCTAACACATACCTACTGCACCCCCCCATCCACTTATGTTCTTGTTATCATTTCACAATTTTTTAATATATTTTTTTGGAGGGGGGGACAAAATGAATTATAAACAGTTACCTGTTGTTTTTAAAAGAAATAGAGAAAAAGAGTAATCAAACTAATACAAAATCCTGACGATTCATCCAAGAGCCTCTCGATTCTAAAAGAAATAGCAAAACTTGGTCAACCTACTCCTTATGCACACACACACACACACACACACACACACACCTAATAACAAACACACACTCATGTACGCACACCTAATAACAAACATGCACACACCTAATATGGCAGCATTTTTGAAGCTCAAGATATTCTTCTTTTGAACATGCTACAAAAACTGTAGGAAAAAAAACATCAGGTTGTGTTTTTTTTATTTTTTTCTTTAAATATATCTTCACATTTGTAAATGAGGCTCAGATTGTACAGAAGAGAATAAGTATCAGAACTGAGTTTATTTTATTTTTTAATCACTTGTCTACTACAGTTCAATTTTTGTAAAATCACCATGTACAAAGTTAGTGTGGGGAGGAAAAGAAAAAAAATAAACCTTGTACAAATTTAAGAAGGGTCCAATGTGGCTATTCTAGGCCTTCAACAAATCTCATAAATCTATCTATTGTAGTCAGTTCATTTGTGTACATGTAAAATCTTCAATGCCTTATTTGGGCATATAGATCTTGGGCAAGTGTTTCTCACTCCACACATACTGTAGTTTGCAAAATTTCTGTACCTATGAAAGTCAAAAGCTTAATTTCTAAAAATGTTTGTTGCTACAATTTGAGACTTTTTACCTCAGACATGTCTTTCTTACTTGGATGCCACTGAAACATCTAAAGACCAACATTTCTACTAGGATCAGAATCCGTTTCTATTTCTGAGATGAGGTATTGTAACTATTTACACTATTTACATTGTTTAAGCTGTTGTCCTCATCTTTATTGTCGTATTCATAATATTTTGGCCATTGTATGCTCTGACCTTCTTCAGGTGATATGTTAGAATTTCAAACTGAACCTATTAATTTGTCCGCCAGAGTTGATTGTTCTACTTCCCCATGCCATGCCTTTTCTGGATATTTCAGTTTCAGTTATTTCCCTTTAGTAACTCAACTCTTTAAGTTTTTGTTCACTTGTGGCCAGGTATTGAACTCACAACTCTTCAAGACAAGTCACTGGATTACTTAAATAAACACTTTTATCCCATGAGCCAGTGGATAAAAAGTTTCCAAGGACACATGGCTCAGTGCTGGTTGAAGTAATGCAGTGAGTTCAATCCCTGGCCACAGCCAATGTGAACAAAAACTTGGAGAGTTGAGTTACTAAAGGGGAATAACTGAAACTGAGATATCCAGAAAAGGCATGGCATGTGGAAGTAGAACAATCTACCCTGGTGGACAAAATAATGGGTTCAGTTTGAAATTCCAATGTATATCACCTGAAGAAGGCCGGAGTATACAATGGCCAAAGTATATTGTGAATATGACGATAAAGATGAGGACAACAGTCAATGTAAATAGAATTAGAATCCAAGAAAGGCAATAATGGATCCACAATTGCTGCCCTCGGATCCTATCCCACAAATTTGGCATTTCCAGGTATAGTGGGTTAAATCTGGCATCTCTGTTTAGACGTAATCTGAATGATTATCTGCTGTTATCGTCTAAACTGAAACACGGCTTGTCTTTCACTGTAGTTGTTCAATCAGTTTTAAAATCTCTCAAACTATCATTTGTGCTTCAGACAAGCATTTCTCATTCTAAATCTGTAGTTGGCAAATTTATATCTCGTAAAATCTGAAGTGCCCAAATCTGATGTCTGCTACAATCACCCGTGTCATGACTGTTGTCTGACAATTGATGTTCAAATCCATCTGAAACTGATTTTCTGATTCTATGGCAGGTACAACACATCTCATCAGGATATTGAGCTACACAATCTTCTTACAAAGTATGTATGTTCATTTACTTGTAAAATCTGCATCATCCAAATGGTATAACTCTGATCTGCTGTTGCATTGAGGCTATCTTCAGTCTCAGTATCGATATTGAGATTTGAGGTAAGTCTTTCAAATCCATTTATGTACTTAAGAAAACCATTCTCTAAATCTAAAGCCTGTGTGTGTGTGTGTGTGTGTGTGTTCATCTTTGGTGTTTTACATCTAGTCTCCACTCAGTTCATTTGTGTTCTTGTAAAATCCTTAGTGCTCATTTGCAATAAATGGCTTTCACTGCTATAAAAAAAAAAAAAAATGAATAAACCTATGAGTGGTTGCCTGCATTTTCTTTTACCTCTGACATCATTAAATTCACATTCTTGAAATATTTGAAAATATTTGTTTATCATTTTCTTCCTAAAATTGTCCAAGATTAATTTTTTTTTTTTTTTTTTCCAAGTATTTTTTATTATTTTCTTTACTGATTTATTAACTTTCAATTTAAATTACAGTAATTCACAATTACCGTATATACTTGTGTATAGATTGCACCCTTAATTTGGGATTGTCAAAGTGGGTATTTGTGGTTGACTCACAGGTAGGTCACGCTATATTCCGAGGAGTTACATGGCCCTTTTTTAACGTAAATATCTACTATCTATATTTCTCATGTTGTCTGTCGTGGGCGTTGTTACCTCGCCCAGGCCGCATTTCTCACCCAATTTCAATGCGGTTTTCAACACAAGTTTGCAAATGGCTGCCGTAAGGACATGACAGAGCCCAATTTTTGAGTTCGGAATCAGGTTCCAAAAAAAATCGATAATCAAAAAACTTCTGCTTACAGAAGGAATGATCGCATTTCAACCAAATTTGACACCCTCTTAGAGTCTACCATTAGAAGTGTTGTCCAGAAGTTTCATGACCACAGACCCCTAAATAGCGCGGAAAATCGATAAAACCC